CCAAGTTTTGGACTCAATCCGATATCGATTGGTCCATGAAATCGGACTATTCAGGTTCGTAGCAAGTTCGTTCTGAAATGGAGTAGTTGGTGTATTGCATAGTTTTAGCCATTGGATTTCACTCCAAACCAACCAAATGACTCCTCCCACCATATTATGTTGTTCCCCAAGTTTTGGACTCAATCCGATATCGATTGGTCCAAGAAATCGGACTATTCAGGTTCGTAGCAAGTTCGTTCTGAAATGGAGTAGTTGGTGTATTGCATAGTTTTAGCCATTGGATTTCACTCCAAACCAACCAAATGACTCCTCCCACCATATTATGTTGTTCCCCAAGTTTTGGACTCAATCCGATATCGATTGGTCCAAGAAATCGGACTATTCAGGTTCGTAGCAAGTTCGTTCTGAAATGGAGTAGTTGGTGTATTGCATAGTTTTAGCCATTGGATTTCACTCCAAACCAACCAAATGACTCCTCCCACCATATTATGTTGTTCCCCAAGTTTTGGACTCAATCCGATATCGATTGGTCCATCAAATCGGACTATTCAGGTTCGTAGCAAGTTCGTTCTGAAATGGAGTAGTTGGTGTATTGCATAGTTTTAGCCATTGGATTTCACTCCAAACCAACCAAATGACTCCTCCCACCATATTATGTTGTTCCCCAAGTTTTGGACTCAATCCGATATCGATTGGTCCAAGAAATCGGACTATTCAGGTTCGTAGCAAGTTCGTTCTGAAATGGAGTAGTTGGTGTATTGCATAGTTTTAGCCATTGGATTTCACTCCAAACCAACCAAATGACTCCTCCCACCATATTATGTTGTTCCCCAAGTTTTGGACTCAATCCGATATCGATTGGTCCAAGAAATCGGACTATTCAGGTTCGTAGCAAGTTCGTTCTGAAATGGAGTAGTTGGTGTATTGCATAGTTTTAGCCATTGGATTTCACTCCAAACCAACCAAATGACTCCTCCCACCATATTATGTTGTTCCCCAAGTTTTGGACTCAATCCGATATCGATTGGTCCAAGAAATCGGACTATTCAGGTTCGTAGCAAGTTCGTTCTGAAATGGAGTAGTTGGTGTATTGCATAGTTTTAGCCATTGGATTTCACTCCAAACCAACCAAATGACTCCTCCCACCATATTATGTTGTTCCCCAAGTTTTGGACTCAATCCGATATCGATTGGTCCAAGAAATCGGACTATTCAGGTTCGTAGCAAGTTCGTTCTGAAATGGAGTAGTTGGTGTATTGCATAGTTTTAGCCATTGGATTTCACTCCAAACCAACCAAATGACTCCTCCCACCATATTATGTTGTTCCCCAAGTTTTGGACTCAATCCGATATCGATTGGTCCAAGAAATCGGACTATTCAGGTTCGTAGCAAGTTCGTTCTGAAATGGAGTAGTTGGTGTATTGCATAGTTTTAGCCATTGGATTTCACTCCAAACCAACCAAATGACTCCTCCCACCATATTATGTTGTTCCCCAAGTTTTGGACTCAATCCGATATCGATTGGTCCATCAAATCGGACTATTCAGGTTCGTAGCAAGTTCGTTCTGAAATGGAGTAGTTGGTGTATTGCATAGTTTTAGCCATTGGATTTCACTCCAAACCAACCAAATGACTCCTCCCACCATATTATGTTGTTCCCCAAGTTTTGGACTCAATCCGATATCGATTGGTCCAAGAAATCGGACTATTCAGGTTCGTAGCAAGTTCGTTCTGAAATGGAGTAGTTGGTGTATTGCATAGTTTTAGCCATTGGATTTCACTCCAAACCAACCAAATGACTCCTCCCACCATATTATGTTGTTCCCCAAGTTTTGGACTCAATCCGATATCGATTGGTCCATGAAATCGGACTATTCAGGTTCGTAGCAAGTTCGTTCTGAAATGGAGTAGTTGGTGTATTGCATAGTTTTAGCCATTGGATTTCACTCCAAACCAACCAAATGACTCCTCCCACCATATTATGTTGTTCCCCAAGTTTTGGACTCAATCCGATATCGATTGGTCCACGAAATCGGACTATTCAGGTTCGTAGCAAGTTCGTTCTGAAATGGAGTAGTTGGTGTATTGCATAGTTTTAGCCATTGGATTTCACTCCAAACCAACCAAATGACTCCTCCCACCATATTATGTTGTTCCCCAAGTTTTGGACTCAATCCGATATCGATTGGTCCAAGAAATCGGACTATTCAGGTTCGTAGCAAGTTCGTTCTGAAATGGAGTAGTTGGTGTATTGCATAGTTTTAGCCATTGGATTTCACTCCAAACCAACCAAATGACTCCTCCCACCATATTATGTTGTTCCCCAAGTTTTGGACTCAATCCGATATCGATTGGTCCAAGAAATCGGACTATTCAGGTTCGTAGCAAGTTCGTTCTGAAATGGAGTAGTTGGTGTATTGCATAGTTTTAGCCATTGGATTTCACTCCAAACCAACCAAATGACTCCTCCCACCATATTATGTTGTTCCCCAAGTTTTGGACTCAATCCGATATCGATTGGTCCATGAAATCGGACTATTCAGGTTCGTAGCAAGTTCGTTCTGAAATGGAGTAGTTGGTGTATTGCATAGTTTTTGCCATTGGATTTCACTCCAAACCAACCAAATGACTCCTCCCACCATATTATGTTGTTCCCCAAGTTTTGGACTCAATCCGATATCGATTGGTCCATGAAATCGGACTATTCAGGTTCGTAGCAAGTTCGTTCTGAAATGGAGTAGGTGGTGTATTGCATAGTTTTAGCCATTGGATTTCACTCCAAACCAACCAAATGACTCCTCCCACCATATTATGTTGTTCCCCAAGTTTTGGACTCAATCCGATATCGATTGGTCCAAGAAATCGGACTATTCAGGTTCGTAGCAAGTTCGTTCTGAAATGGAGTAGTTGGTGTATTGCATAGTTTTAGCCATTGGATTTCACTCCAAACCAACCAAATGACTCCTCCCACCATATTATGTTGTTCCCCAAGTTTTGGACTCAATCCGATATCGATTGGTCCATCAAATCGGACTATTCAGGTTCGTAGCAAGTTCGTTCTGAAATGGAGTAGTTGGTGTATTGCATAGTTTTAGCCATTGGATTTCACTCCAAACCAACCAAATGACTCCTCCCACCATATTATGTTGTTCCCCAAGTTTTGGACTCAATCCGATATCGATTGGTCCATGAAATCGGACTATTCAGGTTCGTAGCAAGTTCGTTCTGAAATGGAGTAGTTGGTGTATTGCATAGTTTTAGCCATTGGATTTCACTCCAAACCAACCAAATGACTCCTCCCACCATATTATGTTGTTCCCCAAGTTTTGGACTCAATCCGATATCGATTGGTCCATGAAATCGGACTATTCAGGTTCGTAGCAAGTTCGTTCTGAAATGGAGTAGGTGGTGTATTGCATAGTTTTAGCCATTGGATTTCACTCCAAACCAACCAAATGACTCCTCCCACCATATTATGTTGTTCCCCAAGTTTTGGACTCAATCCGATATCGATTGGTCCAAGAAATCGGACTATTCAGGTTCGTAGCAAGTTCGTTCTGAAATGGAGTAGTTGGTGTATTGCATAGTTTTAGCCATTGGATTTCACTCCAAACCAACCAAATGACTCCTCCCACCATATTATGTTGTTCCCCAAGTTTTGGACTCAATCCGATATCGATTGGTCCAGAAATCGGACTATTCAGGTTCGTAGCAAGTTCGTTCTGAAATGGAGTAGTTGGTGTATTGCATAGTTTTAGCCATTGGATTTCACTCCAAACCAACCAAATGACTCCTCCCACCATATTATGTTGTTCCCCAAGTTTTGGACTCAATCCGATATCGATTGGTCCATGAAATCGGACTATTCAGGTTCGTAGCAAGTTCGTTCTGAAATGGAGTAGTTGGTGTATTGCATAGTTTTAGCCATTGGATTTCACTCCAAACCAACCAAATGACTCCTCCCACCATATTATGTTGTTCCCCAAGTTTTGGACTCAATCCGATATCGATTGGTCCATGAAATCGGACTATTCAGGTTCGTAGCAAGTTCGTTCTGAAATGGAGTAGTTGGTGTATTGCATAGTTTTAGCCATTGGATTTCACTCCAAACCAACCAAATGACTCCTCCCACCATATTATGTTGTTCCCCAAGTTTTGGACTCAATCCGATATCGATTGGTCCAAGAAATCGGACTATTCAGGTTCGTAGCAAGTTCGTTCTGAAATGGAGTAGTTGGTGTATTGCATAGTTTTAGCCATTGGATTTCACTCCAAACCAACCAAATGACTCCTCCCACCATATTATGTTGTTCCCCAAGTTTTGGACTCAATCCGATATCGATTGGTCCACGAAATCGGACTATTCAGGTTCGTAGCAAGTTCGTTCTGAAATGGAGTAGTTGGTGTATTGCATAGTTTTAGCCATTGGATTTCACTCCAAACCAACCAAATGACTCCTCCCACCATATTATGTTGTTCCCCAAGTTTTGGACTCAATCCGATATCGATTGGTCCAAGAAATCGGACTATTCAGGTTCGTAGCAAGTTCGTTCTGAAATGGAGTAGTTGGTGTATTGCATAGTTTTAGCCATTGGATTTCACTCCAAACCAACCAAATGACTCCTCCCACCATATTATGTTGTTCCCCAAGTTTTGGACTCAATCCGATATCGATTGGTCCATCAAATCGGACTATTCAGGTTCGTAGCAAGTTCGTTCTGAAATGGAGTAGTTGGTGTATTGCATAGTTTTAGCCATTGGATTTCACTCCAAACCAACCAAATGACTCCTCCCACCATATTATGTTGTTCCCCAAGTTTTGGACTCAATCCGATATCGATTGGTCCATCAAATCGGACTATTCAGGTTCGTAGCAAGTTCGTTCTGAAATGGAGTAGTTGGTGTATTGCATAGTTTTAGCCATTGGATTTCACTCCAAACCACCCAAATGACTCCTCCCACCATATTATTAGAGCATCTCCACCCACAAGGGCTAAGTCTAAGGCAAGGGCAAGCAAGGGCTGCCACTATTCACGTGAATAGTGTCAGCCTTTGCATTTGTGGTTCCACCCATGAGAGCAGTTCCAGCAGCCCACTCGGGCTCGGGGGGGGGGGGGGGAGAGCCCAAAATGGCATTCCAGCAACAAGTACTGGCCCGGGCAGTGTGGGGTCCACTTGCCTGGGCTGGCCCGAAGGCAGGGGCTGCTCGAGCAGCAGCCCGAAGGCAGGCTGACGTCAGCGTGACATCAGCAGGTGCAATTTTTTTTTCTTTCTGCTGCCACATGGCGCGATCTGGTTCTTCTGATTTTCGAATTTTCATCCAATCCAACGGCTTGGAATTTTTCAAGGCAAAAAATTATGAAAAAAAATCGTAAAAATTTTTTAAAAACCCCAAAAAATACTGAATTTTTTTCTATAAATACCAATCCATACTCTTCACTTTTAACAACAAATTCACTTTCTACTCAATAATTTTTTCACTTTCAAGTTTAATTATTCACTTTCTACTCAATATTTTTTCACTTTCAACTCTAAATGTTTTTCACTTTCAAGTTTAATTATTCACAATTTCCCAACAATGGAAATGCACGAAACTTTTTTTGCCTTGCCCCATGGCACCAAACCACATTTGTGCTTGTATCATCTATTAAAAATAAATAATTGGAAGTGCAAGAAACAAAAATTATTATGCAAGAAAATATAAACTATTTTGAAATGCAAAAATAAAATTGATTATGCAAGAAAATATAGACAAATTAAAGGTGCACCAAGAAAAAAAAATATGCAAGAAAAACAAATAGAATATGCAATAAATAAAAAAGTGACATTGAATTGATTAAAATGGCTATTATAAATATTTTACCTCATCGGTCAAATTTTGACCACTTTGAATGTTCGCCTTTGCTTTTGTCAAGGCATTTCTCCATTTCCCTAACTCTTTATTCAGAAGTTTCCATCTACTAGACAACGCCATTTCGGTCCGAATAGAACCCGATCTTTGACAAAATTCTCCATGAATTTTGCTCCACATGTGATGAAACTTGGATGTTTAGAAAAGTAATTTGATGCAGTTTTGGTCGGAGGTCGGTCCCTGAAATTGACGAAGGCTTCTTGTGATTAATATGTGCAAGTTCACTTAGGATGAATACCACGTCTTAAGGGTTGCATGGTTTTTCAAAAGGTTTCACAGAACTTAATGAGTCATGTATGTTTAGATTTGATCTGAATACCACAGACGAATTGCATGTGTGATATACGCTCTATGTTGGGGGTCCAAGTAGGCATATATTAGGAATACCTAACCTTCGAAATATGCATGTATAGGTCATAAGTAATTGGGGGAACTATATAGAATTGTTAAGGTGACGGCGAATCCCTAGTGCTTTTTTAATTTGATTTCTAAAAACACAACTGTTTCTCTTGCTCTTAGTTTTAATTTTGCATATTGCCTTATTTTTATTAGTTAAATTCCTTTTAATTTATGGTCTTCAAATCAAACATCTCAACTTTCTCTTTTGCAATAATTAATTAGAATTTGGTTGCTACGAGTTATTTAATAATCCCTGTGGAGAACGACCTTGCGAGAATCATTTATACTACAATAACCTTGTCATTCTTGCAAGTTTTGTAGGAGTTTTAACCCTGTTTGCGCAGGTACTAAAAAGCCTATCAAGAAATTGGCACTGTTGCCGGGGATTATTTAAAATAATTTGTTCTAATCAGATTCTGCATTAATTATTGCTGTACATACAAAAAAAAAAAAAAAAAAAAAAAAAAAAAAAATTTCGTTTTTATTTATTTTTTGCAGATCACAGCAAGGCAGTGCAAATTACAATCTGTGCATGGTCAGCACATGTTCAGCAGTTCAGCAATTGTTTCCATTTGATCCAGAACCTGAGCAATCTTTAAGGAGGAGACACAGGGAGCAAAATTTGCTGTGGGTTCCTTCACTGCAAGGGACTTTTCTGCAGTCTTCATATTCTGAGGAACTGCACAGTACAGAAACAATGGCTTTTGTTATTCCAGAGGCTGGTGATCCTTTGGGTAATTCTTTAACAGCTCATGCCACTAACATACCAAGTTGCATTACATATCCAACAGTGGAAGAAGGGTCTACATTCGAAATCAAGCATCACATGTTGAGTATTCTACCTACATTTCATAGGTTATCAACCGATGATCCTAATATGCACATTGCAGAATTTTTAATGGGATGCAAGAATATTTTGGTGAAAGGATTCTCAGCTGAATCTATTAAGCTTCGTCTATTTCCTTACACATTGAAAGATCAAGCAAGGAGATGGCTCCTCACACTTCCATCTGGAAGCATTAGCACTTGGAACCAACACAGTGAAAAATTCTTAAACAAGTATTATCCAGCTTCAAAGACTCTCGACATGAGAACTCAAATTTTATCTTTTGCCCAAAAACCAAATGAAGAGTTTCATGAGGCGTGGGAACGGTTTAAAGAGTTGAATAGAAAATGTCCACATTCTGGTATTAGCAGTACGGATCAAGTGCATATATTTTTCAGAGGGTTAAATATGACAACAAAAACTCTTGTCAACGCTTCATGCGGAGGATCATACAAGGATAAAAATGCACAAGAGGCTTGTTTATTATTTGAAAAAATGGCAGCAGATACACAGCAATGGGCAGTTGAGCAGCCACAATCAAGGTCTGTTTTTGAGATATCTAATGGTTCTCCATATATGTCGGCACAAATTGAAAAAATGGAGAAAAAGCTTGAAAGATTTGATGCAAAATTTGACATGTTATTACAAAGAATTCCAGGTTCACAGGTTGCTGTACAGCAACCTTTACCAGCTGCCTGTAGCATTTGCAATGTGACAACCCATGATTTTTTGAGCTGTCCGCATAAAGATGCTTATCCGGAATTTGCAGCGGAACAAGTTAATGCATTTAATAATTTTCAGCGTCCACGATATGACCCGTATTCAAATGTTTACAACCCGGGTTGGAGAGATCATCCTAATTTTAAGTGGGACAGAGATCAACCTGCAAGGCCACAATTTCAACAACAGGTACAGCAAACTGCTGCGCCTAAGGCTGCTTGGGAGGTTGCAATTGAAAAATTAGCAAATGCCACCAGTCAAGAATTCCAAAATCTGCAGGCAACAGTGAAAAACATAGAAAAACAAATGGGGCAGATTGCATTCCAAGTTTCAGAAAGAGCACCAGGTACATTTCCTAGCCAAACGGAACATAATCCAAGGGGAGGCGCAGATTGTAAGGCAGTTCGAGTTCTACGTTCGGGTAAAAGTTATGACAATAGAGGTGAAATTTGTGTTGGAAATTCGCAAGCAGCATCACAGCCCCAAACAGATTCAGGAAATTTTGCAGAATATGATATTGTTACAGATTCTGCAGAGTCTATGGGCAGATCTGAAAACAGTGCAAAAATTGCTGCAGAAACTGCAGAACGTGTTTATGTGCCTCCAATGCCTTATCCCGAAAGGTTGAAGCCCAAAGTTAAAGATCAACAGTTGACAGATTTTATGAAGACGTTGGCCAAAGTTCAGATCAATCTACCATTGATTGATGCAATTAAGAACATTCCATCTTATGCCAAGTTTTTAAAGGATGTTTGCACAAAGAAAAAGAAGTTCGTGGATTTTGAAAAAGTTATACTTACAGAACAGTGCAGCGCAGTTTTATTACACAAACTGCCTCCAAAGAAACAAGACCCAGGGAGTTTTACAATTTCATGCACAATTGGAAATTCTAATTTTAAACGTGCTTTAATTGATTTGGGTGCCAATATTAATTTAATGCCTTTTTCTGTTTTTCAGAGACTAGGACAAGGAGAAATCAAGCCTACATCAGTTATTCTACAACTGGCGGACCGTTCAGTTGCTTACCCTAGGGGAATTATTGAAGACCTTGTTATTAAAGTGGATAATCTCTACCTTCCTGCAGATTTTGTGGTTTTGGATATGGATGAAGACATGCAAACACCGATTATTTTGGGGAGACCGTTTATGGCAACAGCTAGGACTTTAATTGATGTGGAAGCTGGAACATTAACTTTACGAGTTCAAGACCAATCTGTGGTTTTTAATTTGTTTGAAGGAGCAAAACGTCCTGCTGAACAGCAGGAATGTATGCACATTGATGTGGTAGACAATATGGTTCAAGCCAGCTTTCAGGCAAGTTCAAATACAGATAAGTTGCTCAGCAAGGGAAAAACGAAAAAGCGGAAATTGCAGTTAAATGAGCTAGAGGAAATTCATCAAGGTGCTTATGATAGTTCTTGCATCTACAAGGAAAGAACTAAGGCATTTCATGACAGTAAAATTTTGCGGAAGGAATTTCGGCCAGGGAAAAAGGTTATGTTATTCAGTTCAAGGTTGAGGTTGTTTCTAGGGAAGTTAAAGTCTCGTTGGATTGGCCCTTACCTGGTGACTCAAGTTTTTCCTCATGGAGCAGTTCAAATCACTAATGAAGCTAAAGGCAACACATTCAAGGTCAACGGTCACAGGCTGAAACCCTACGTGGAGACACCCTTTGACACTGCAACTGAGTCTTTGACTCTGAAGGAACCAGTGATTTAACCACTAGACTTCTGCAATGTCTAGCTACAGACTTAAAATAAAGCGCTTATTGGGAGGCAACCCAAAATTTTTAATTTTTTTTCCTAACCTCTTTACTTCTTTTATTTTTAAAACTAAACAAAAACAAAAAAAAATACAAAAATATTTGTTTCTGTTTTTCCTTGTCTAGTTATTTTCTTTCTACTCCTAACACATATTTGATTCAATGCAGGACAACCAACAATCAGCAGCAAACATCAAAAGCAAAAAATCCTAGGCTGGAATCCTGCACCCAGCAGCAAGTCTACAATGGGAAAGACACAACAATCAGCAGCAAGTATCAAAAAAAAAAAAAACCTAGGCTGGAATCCTGCACCCAGCAGCAAGTCTACACTGGAATCATGCACCCAGCAGCAAGTCTACCAAATTTCCAACAACAACATTTGCAGGGATTCGAAATTATACCTATGAGGTGCACGGATTGGGGGTCCTCAGGCTTTTTGCTGTTTTGTTCTTTGAGCTTGTGTGTTTATACCAATACCCCCAAACTTATTTCTTTTCAACACTTAGGTTATGGCACTAATGATTCACTTTTGCTACAAAAACCTTGCATTCTTTATAACTCTTTTTGAAGATAGCTTTAATTACTCATAGAATAAGTAAAAATAAGAAAACAGAGGTTTATTATGGTAGGAATGGTTTACACAAAGAAAGGCTTAACGTAGGCTCAAATGGGTTGACTAGGGATGAATACATGTAGATAGATGGTTAGAAAGGCTCAAACGGTTCAAACATGGCCTAAATTACTTCCTAAGCATTGTATGGCAACAAAATGTCTCAAGAGATATTCAAATAAGTTCTAGAGTACAAAACCAAGATCATGAGATAAGTAGAATTGCATAACGTCTCCAAGTAGCAAGAAATTGGACTAACTCGGCAAAGTGCTCAATAAGTGCAAGGATGGCATGCAAGACAGAGTTAACTTAGAACCATACAAAGTCCTTAAACAATGACTATAAATTTCTGAGAAACCATATTAGTATTAAATCCAAGTCTTATCATAGGTGTTTGGAAGGATAACGAAACAACACACAAAATCCTGCGTTTTTTGCCATTAGACACACCCAAAATTTTAAATTTTGACAATTTGAAACAACATAACTAAATCCTTCTCCCCAAACTTAAATAAAACATTGTCCTCAATGTTTAGAGTGTAAGAAAAAGCAATGCCTCATAAATGAAAGGAAAGAAGATAAGGGAAAGACATAACCAAAGGTTAGAGTTTAGAAAAACACTCCCCTTTGAAGCGATTAGGACGCAAGCAAGCTTCCTTGCATGTTCTATCTTCTCCTCGTCACCTTGGGTTGCCTCCCAAGAAGTGCTAAGTTTCATGTCTTCAGCCAAACATCCAAACTTTCTATAGTGAATGGGGGGGTTTGGGCTCAATCGACACCTCATGCAATGCGAGAGAGTTCACCAAGCTTGTTTTCCTTTTCCATTGCTTCCTTGCTGCTTTTCTTTTCCTTTTCTGTTTATGAATAGAATCACAATGAATTGTAGGAATGATTGGAATATTCACATCTCCAAATTTTGGCAGCCCCTTCTTGTGTGTGGGAATTGTAGCATTGAACATGTGGGCTGCCCCTGCTCCTCCTTGTCTCCTCTTTTCAGCAAGCATGATTCTACTGAATATGGAAGGCCATCAAATCTCTCTTTCCCTGGATTACCAAATACTTCAATTTGAAAACAATCTTGCACAACATTTGGCTTCAGGGCATCAAACACTTTGAAGGCAATAGTTTCTCCATTAACGTTCATGGTGAGAGTAACTTGCTCTACATCAATCTTGGTCTTAGCAGTAGCCATGAAGGGTCGGCCAAAGATAAGGGGCAATTAATTGTCAGGAATTGGTGCTTCTTCCATCTCCAAGACTAAGAAATCAACTGGCAAGATTAAACCTTCTACATTCACCAAAACGTCTTCTAGAATGCCCTTGGGGTAACGAATAGTTCTATCTGCCAATTGAATGCTCACAATTGTGGCTTGCAACTCACCAAGGTTAAGTTTCTCATAAACATGATATGGCATAAGATTTATAGAAGCACCAAGATCAAGCAAAGCTTTTGGAAACTTAGAAAACGAAACTGGATCCTTTAGCTTTGGAGGTAGCTTTCTTTGTAACACTGCACTTACCTCTTCACTCAATGCAACTTGTTCATGCTCTTTGAATCTCCTCTTATTAGTGCATAGATCTTTCAAAAATTTTGCATACTTTGGAATCTGAGCAATGACATTGAGCAATGGGATGTTGATTTGCACCTTCTTGAATGTTTCCATTATCTCATCCAAGCTTTGATCTTTCTTTGACTTTGATAACCTGCTGGGAAAGGGTGCAATAGGCCTAAAAGTATTAGTTGAAATTGGAACTTGATTAGCATTAGATGATACCTTAGGGCCTGTGCTCTTTCCAGAAGCATTGAGGGACTGTTTGTTGTAAGCTGTGGGCTGCCCATGTGGTGGCTGAATGATCTCCACGTTTTCTCCATCTTCTTGCTCTTCATTGGCATCTCCAACCTCATTATCAACTTGTTTTCCACTTCTCAAGATGTGTACTGCATTAGCATGCTCTTGATGCCTTGAATTCACCTCCGTTTGGCTTGGAAATGTTCCGGATGCTCTATTGCTCAAGGAGGATGCAATCTGCCTAACTTGCACTTCTAGCTTGTTCACTGCATTTTGAAGATTCTAATTGGTTTGCATCTGTTGCCCCATGAAATTCTTGAACATGTCTTGCAATTCTCCCATTTGGTCACCCCTTTGCTCTTGCACTCGTTGGGGAGCTTGCTGGAATTGCCTTTGTTGTATTTGAAATCCTGGGGGAGGTCCTTGAGATTGTTGCACATTTGAATTATTTCTCCACTTGAAATTTGGATGATTTCTCCACCCCTGTTTATACGTGTTTTAGTAAGGATCATTATTAGGATTCCTTGCTTGAAGTGCATTTGCTTGTTCTAGCATGTGCTCTGCAAAAGATTGATCTTGAACTTCCACTTTGTTTCCTAGAGGGCCAGTCACTGCCTGTTGAAGCAAAGAACACATAACATCAAGTTTTGCAACAATCTCATTATTAGTACTTACCTCAGAGACCACAGCTTTCATAGGAGCTCCTCTTCCTTTATTGTAGCTCCATTGTTGAGAGTTAGCACTCAAGGATTCAAAGAGAGTAAAAGCATCATCTACTGTTTTGTTCATCAGTCCTTCTCCACTTGTTGCATCTACCATCATCCTTTCGGAATCAAGCAAACCTTCATAGAAAGATTGCATTTGCATCCAACTCTCTATGTTGTGGTGTGGGCAAGAACTTATCATCTCCTTGTACCTCTCCCAACATTCATGAAAAGCTTCTCCTTCCTTTTGTGTGAAACCAAGGATTTCCTTTCTACTCTTGTTAGTCTTTTGAGCTGGAAAGAATTTCTGCAAAAACTTATTAGAAAGCTCTTCCCAAGTATGAATTGAAGCATTAGGCAAAGAGTATAACCAAGACTTAGCCTTATCTTTTAAACTAGCCTCGTCTTAATCTGCTCATCATCAAGGCCTTGAATTTTGATCGTAGCACAAATTTCAAAGAATTGCTTAATATGCATGTAAGGATCCTCAGTGGTGTTACCATAATAAGTTGGAAGAAGATGAATCATACCACTTTTAAGCTAAAACCTATCAACTGTGAGTTGAGGATAGACGATGCACGAAGGTTGATCGGTGACTTTGGGAATGGAAAACTCACGCAGGGGTTTTCGAGGTTGGACAACAAGCGCACCACCTCCTTCAATTGTTGTTGTTCGGAATCTCTGCCATCTTGCTTGAACCTTCATATTCATAACTCTTAGAATCAATGCTTGAAGAACTATAATTCCTCCTCAAACCAGCACGTACAACAGCAGTTCTTGGTGAAAGTGGCTTAGGTAAACTTTGTCCTGGTCAGATTCGGACATGCACACTCTAAGGAACTCAATTCAGTGCTTTTAATGGAGATAACAACTAAATACAAAAACTGAATAATAAAAGAAAAACCAATGAAAAGAAACAAATGAAACAAACAAAAACAAAACAATCAAAGTAATCAAACTATAGCACCATCGTTACCGGTTCCCCGGCAACGGCGCTAAAAACTTGTTGAGCCTATCCTTAACAACTAAAATGAGTTATTATAAACAGCAACTTTAATTCTCGCAAGTGCATGAACCGTTTATAGTATAGCTTATGTAAATACGAGGTCGATCCCATGGAGAATGGTAACTTGGTTCCAAGTTAAATTACTTAGAATGCTGGAAAAACAGAAAACAAAGAAACTGACTAACTAACTAAAGGCAAAGTCGAATTCAACAATGCCTCTTGCTAATTACTCAAGATCTAGGACAGAATCCTAGCACCACACACACACTCGAAATGGGGGGTTTTGTTGTTGAAATGAAAAGAAGAAAGTGAAATGAAAGTGCTCAAAAGTAAACATTGGACAGATTGTGAAACAATAATTGAGAGGTGTTAGAGCCTTGGAATCCACCACTAGTTTTCCTATCCAAGTTATGAATGCATAGAAATTGACTCAAGCTTCATCAACAATAGATTATCGCATACAAGCCTATGGTATTTAGGTGCAGGATGCATGATTTTCCTAAGGCATGTGATTGTGCATGGTATCTACACAACACTTGATCTCTAATATGCAACCTAAGCATGGTATCTACTTAGAATAAAGCATACAAGAGTCATTAAGCTCTTGAGAATATGATAATCACACAAGTCCTAGAACATGGTATTTGTCCTAGTCAACCTATGGTTATTAACCCCTTGAATGATTCTTAGGCCATTCATGTGTTGCTTGTGAAAGGAGAGTAGAATTGGTGAATCTAAACCCCTTCCCAACCTGTGCTAGATGCATAAAATCCTAGTTAGCTACTCCAAGAAAACATACATCAAGCACATAATAAACTGGAGATTAACAACTTGATAATGAAAGCAAGGAAATCAATTAACTATAAAATCTTCCATAACATTGAATATTCATGACTAGGGCTTCATCCTAAGCCCTAACTAAATGGATTAGTTAGACATAACTATGAATACAGAAAATAAGAAATACATAGATAGGATAAAGAGAAGAGAAGAACTGGCTGGCAGCAATGTAGTTCCCAGGACAGCTCCAAGTTCTCTTCTCTCTTTGTGGTGAATCTGAATGTGTGTATGAGAGTAATGGATGAAGTGAATGTGTGTGTCTGACTCTCTATATCCCCTTGAAGGAGTGTGCAGCTCTTTATTTATAGAGTGCAATTTCGTCCTCCCCTTTGGCTGGTGAAGCACACCTCTCTTAGCTGCTCCCAACTGCTCCAGCTGCCCATACTTGCCAACTGCTCCAGTTGACATACTTGCCAACTACTCCATACTTGCCAACTGCTCCAGCTGCCAAATACATGCTTTCTTTATGGAAAGCTTGACTTTTGTTCATCCTTCTGAGTTCCTGAGCTGATTTGACTCCCATGTATGGCTGCCCATGTGTAGCACATGGCTCTAGGGATGTAGCCACATTAAATGTGATGGCAACCATGACATTTCTGTGAACTTGGTTCAGTATTTGACGTGCTGAGTGCTCCAGATTTATTCAATTGGGCTGAAATTTGGATGTTATAATAGACACCCATTGGAACAACTTCTATCAAGGATGTCTCCTCATCCGACCTGTGTAAGTTGCTGAAATGAGGCCTGCAAGATGACCTACGAAACTGGACTGACAAGGAGTGTGGCTCAAATTGGGTTTGTCTTTTAGCTCATATTCCTCTTATCCCAATCAGCCCTTAACATGCATGAATTGTATCAAATGTCATCCCCTTGCTGTCTTAACCTACAAAACACACAAACATAGGTAAGAGACTCAAAATAAGGAGAAGCTAAACAAAATTACTAAGCAAAGAAGGCATGCAAATGTGTGAAATTATGAACTTATCAAATACCCCCAAACTTAGATTTTGATAGTCCTCGAGCAAAACAAAATAAAACTACAACTTAGGAAACAGAAAATAAGCAACTAGCCTTCCAAACAATATCCTCAAAGAATCACCAACGTATATGGTTCCAAAGAAACACAAAAATCACAATCTAGTTCCATACATGATTCACGAGAAAGAAAAGCTCACAATGACACCCTTAAGTGTAGTGCGTGAATGCAAAATCAGAACAACACCGGCAACTCAAATAAGTACATGCGCACACACTTAGAGCAAAATCAAGAATTCCTAACCCCATAAGCTCATTATCAAATCAGCTCTCCACAGTAATACCATATAATACCAAGGATCAAAGGACTTTACAAGGGTTGTAATGAGGCTTAGGGTAGTGGTTGAATGAAAGAGGGGATATCGATATATAACAACATCTTGAGCACAACTAAACCATAAGTAAGAGCATGAGAGATTAGTAATCTTTTTAACAAGCAAGGAACACATACGTGAGCATATTTCAATAGAATTTCAGAATCTTCACATCTATTTATTCGGACTATTCAGGATCGTACGAAGTTCGTTTTGAAATGGAGTGGTTGGTGTATTGAATAGTTTTAGCCATTATTTCACTAAAAACCCACCAAATGACTCCTCCCACCATATTATGTTGTTCCCCAAGGTTTTGGACTCAATCCAATATCGATTGGTCCATGAAATCAGACAATTCAAGTTCGTATGAAGTTCGTTTTTAAATTGAGTGGTTGGTGTATTGTAGTTTTTAGACATTGGATTTCATTCCAAACCACCAAATGACTCCTCCCACCATATTACGATGTTCCCCAAGTTTTGGACTCAATGCGATATCGATTGGCCCATGAAATCGGACAACTTACGTTTGTACGAAGCTCGTCTCTCAAATGGAGTGGTTGGTGTATTGCATAGTTCCTAGATTGGCTTTCACTCCAAACACACACCAAATGACTCCCTCCCACCATATTATGGGATTTCCCCACGTTTTGGACTCAATCCGATATCGATTGGTCCATGAAATCGGACTATTCAGGTTCGTAGCAAGTTCGTTCTGAAATGGAGTAGTTGGTGTATTGCATAGTTTTAGCCATTGGATTTCACTCCAAACCAACCAAATGACTCCTCCCACCATATTATGTTGTTCCCCAAGTTTTGGACTCAATCCGATATCGATTGGTCCAAGAAATCGGACTATTCAGGTTCGTAGCAAGTTCGTTCAGAAATGGAGTAGTTGGTGTATTGCATAGTTTTAGCCATTGGATTTCACTCCAAACCAACCAAATGACTCCTCCCACCATATTATGTTGTTCCCCAAGTTTTGGACTCAATCCGATATCGATTGGTCCAAGAAATCGGACTATTCAGGTTCGTAGCAAGTTCGTTCTGAAATGGAGTAGTTGGTGTATTGCATAGTTTTAGCCATTGGATTTCACTCCAAACCAACCAAATGACTCCTCCCACCATATTATGTTGTTCCCCAAGTTTTGGACTCAATCCGATATCGATTGGTCCAAGAAATCGGACTATTCAGGTTCGTAGCAAGTTCGTTCTGAAATGGAGTAGTTGGTGTATTGCATAGTTTTAGCCATTGGATTTCACTCCAAACCAACCAAATGACTCCTCCCACCATATTATGTTGTTCCCCAAGTTTTGGACTCAATCCGATATCGATTGGTCCAAGAAATCGGACTATTCAGGTTCGTAGCAAGTTCGTTCTGAAATGGAGTAGTTGGTGTATTGCATAGTTTTAGCCATTGGATTTCACTCCAAACCAACCAAATGACTCCTCCCACCATATTATGTTGTTCCCCAAGTTTTGGACTCAATCCGATATCGATTGGTCCAAGAAATCGGACTATTCAGGTTCGTAGCAAGCGTTCAGAAATGGAGTAGGTGTATTGCATAGTTTTAGCCTTGGGATTTCACTCCCCAAAAACCAACCAACAAATGAGCCTCCCACCATATTATGTTGTTCCCCAAGTTTTGGACTCAATCCGAATATTGGTCAAGAAATAGGACTATTCAGGGTAGTAGCAGTTCGTTCAGAAATGGAGTAGTTCGTGTTATTGCATAGTTTTAGCCATTGGATTCACTCAAAAAACAACAAAAAGGACTCCTCCCACCAGACTTATGCTGTTACCCAAGTTTGGGGACTCAATCCGATCTCTATTTGCAAGACATAGGAATATATGGTTCGCAAGTTCGTTCTGAAATGGATAGTTGGTGTATTGCATAGTTTTAGCAATTGGATTTCACTCCAAACCAACCAAATGACTCCTCGGAAGTATTATGTTGTTCCCCAAGTTTTGGACTCAATCCGATATCGATTGGTCCAAAATCGGACTATTCAGGTTCCTACCAAGTTCGTTCCCAAATAGTTGGTGTATTGCATAGTTTTAGCAATGGATTTCATCCCTACCCCCAAGTTTGGACTATCAGTCCGTTAGGTTCGAAATGGAGTGTTGGTGTATTGCATAGTTTTAGCCATTGGATTTCACTCCAAACCAACCAAATGACTCCTCCCACCATATTATGTTGTTCCCCAAGTTTTGGACTCAATCCGATATCGATTGGTCCAAGAAATCGGACTATTCAGGTTCGTAGCAAGTTCGTTCTGAAATGGAGTAGTTGGTGTATTGCATAGTTTTAGCCATTGGATTTCACTCCAAACCAACCAAATGACTCCTCCCACCATATTATGTTGTTCCCCAAGTTTTGGACTCAATCCGATATCGATTGGTCCATGAAATCGGACTATTCAGGTTCGTAGCAAGTTCGTTCTGAAATGGAGTAGTTGGTGTATTGCATAGTTTTAGCCATTGGATTTCACTCCAAACCAACCAAATGACTCCTCCCACCATATTATGTTGTTCCCCAAGTTTTGGACTCAATCCGATATCGATTGGTCCAAGAAATCGGACTATTCAGGTTCGTAGCAAGTTCGTTCTGAAATGGAGTAGTTGGTGTATTGCATAGTTTTAGCCATTGGATTTCACTCCAAACCAACCAAATGACTCCCTCCCCACCATATATGTTCCCAAGTTTTGGACTCAATCCGATATCGATTGGTCCATGAAATCGGACTATTCAGGTTCGTAGCAAGTTCGTTCAGAAATGGAGTAGTTGGTGTATTGCATAGTTTTAGCCATTGGATTTCACTCCAAACCAACCAAATGACTCCTCCCACCATATTATGTTGTTCCCCAAGTTTTGGACTCAATCCGATATCGATTGGTCCATGAAATCGGACTATTCAGGTTCGTAGCAAGTTCGTTCTGAAATGGAGTAGTTGGTGTATTGCATAGTTTTAGCCATTGGATTTCACTCCAAACCAACCAAATGACTCCTCCCACCATATTATGTTGTTCCCCAAGTTTTGGACTCAATCCGATATCGATTGGTCCAAGAAATCGGACTATTCAGGTTCGTAGCAAGTTCGTTCTGAAATGGAGTAGTTGGTGTATTGCATAGTTTTAGCCATTGGATTTCACTCCAAAACCAACCAAATGACTCCTCCCACCATATTATGTTGTTCCCCAAGTTTTGGACTCAATCCGATATCGATTGGTCCATGAAATCGGACTATTCAGGTTCGTAGCAAGTTCGTTCTGAAATGGAGTAGTTGGTGTATTGCATAGTTTTAGCCATTGGATTTCACTCCAAACCAACCAAATGACTCCTCCCACCATATTATGTTGTTCCCCAAGTTTTGGACTCAATCCGATATCGATTGGTCCATGAAATCGGACTATTCAGGTTCGTAGCAAGTTCGTTCTGAAATGGAGTAGTTGGTGTATTGCATAGTTTTAGCCATTGGATTTCACTCCAAACCAACCAAATGACTCCTCCCACCATATTATGTTGTTCCCAAGTTTTGGACTCAATCCGATATCGATTGGTCCATGAAATCGGACTATTCAGGTTCGTAGCAAGTTCGTTCTGAAATGGAGTGGTTGGTGTATTGCATAGTTTTAGCCATTGGATTTCACTCCAAACCAACCAAATGACTCCTCCCACCATATTATGTTGTTCCCCAAGTTTTGGACTCAATCCGATATCGATTGGTCCAGAAATCGGACTATTCAGGTTCGTAGCAAGTTCGTTCAGAAATGGAGTAGTTGGTGTATTGCATAGTTTTAGCCATTGGATTTCACTCCAAACCAACCAAATGACTCCTCCCACCATATTATGTTGTTCCCCAAGTTTTGGACTCAATCCGATATCGATTGGTCCATGAAATCGGACTATTCAGGTTCGTAGCAAGTTCGTTCTGAAATGGAGTGGTTGGTGTATTGCATAGTTTTAGCCATTGGATTTCACTCCAAAACCAACCAAATGACTCCTCCCACCATATTATGTTGTTCCCCAAGTTTTGGACTCAATCCGATATCGATTGGTCCATGAAATCGGACTATTCAGGTTCGTAGCAAGTTCGTTCTGAAATGGAGTGGTTGGTGTATTGCATAGTTTTAGCCATTGGATTTCACTCCAAACCAACCAAATGACTCCTCCCACCATATTATGTTGTTCCCCAAGTTTTGGACTCAATCCGATATCGATTGGTCCAAGAAATCGGACT